CGGACTTGCAATCTAGACTTGCAATCTAGAGGGCGGTGTTGGTGCAGCCGCCGAGGGCGGTGGCGGCGAGGGCGGTGGCGGCGAGGGCGGTAGCGGCGAGGGCGGTGGCGGCGAGGGTGGTGGCGGCGAGGGCGGTGGCGGCGAGGGTGGAGGCGAGGGCGGCGGTGGTGAGAGCGGAGAAGGAGAGGGTGGAGGCGACGAGGGCGGCGCGGCGGTGACGACGGTGGCGGGGGCGAGGGAAGGCAGCGCCGCGGCCGTGTGCTCAGGCCCTCGCGAGAGTACATTCGGTGCGAGTGGCAGCGGGACGCAGTGGAGAGCAGGGAGATGCAGCCGAGGAGTCGTGCCTCCCTCTCGAGTGCTGGCCGGCGCATGGCCGGGTCTGTCTCAAGCTTCTAGGCGGAATACACTAGGCGGCCTCCGGTGGTGCGCCGATGTGTGTGTGCTAGAGTGCGCCAGTCCACGCCCTCGTCGTGCCAGTGCGCTGTGAGAGAGAGGGTTGGCTTCTAAGAGTCTCTAGGCTGCGCGCGCCAAGCGCAGGCGACGCACTGCAGCGCGCCAAAGAGCAGCGCGAGGGCAGCCCCCCCGCAGAAGGCGGCGGCGCGGCAGAGAGCGGCAGCGAGCGCGCGTGCGAGGGACGCGTCCTCGCGGCTCGTCTCGTCCACCGCGGCCGCATCGCCCTCCTCCTCGACGCCGCCCTCGCCTGCGGCCCCCGGCGCGAGCGAGAGGCGCAGCGCTTGCGCGCGGAGAGGCAGCGAGATGCCGTCGTAGAGCCAGCCCAGGCCAAGGTAGTTGAGGGTGAGGCAGGCGCGGAGCGCCGCGCGCGGCCGGCCGAGGTACACGTGGTGGAGGCCTGCCGCCCGCGGCCACCGTGAGAGGCGTTCTGTGTGTTCTTTCGCCGAGGAGAGGAGCGGAGAGGGTGCGGAGTGCGCACCGAGGAGGCCGAAGAAGAACCACAGCGTGTACGCCTTGAGAGCGAGGAGGGCACCACCCGCCGTATCCATAACACCGCCCTTCGTCCACCAGGAGCGCACGGTTGCCGAAACGGCTCCGACATTTGCGGCGGCCGCGCTGCCCGATAGTCGGAGTGCGCCTGTGAGGCCGGAATTTATGACCTTTGAAAAGTGTGCTGCGAGGCGCAGGCCGGCAAAGCTGTGAGTGCTGCTGGGCTGTCGACGCGTCTTGATCGATGGAGGAGGAATACGGCTGACGGAGAGATGAAGCTGCTCTCGGGAGTGTGCAGCAGGACGAACGCACCCATCTCCGCGAGAGCGCGCCCGTCGACCGCGAGCAGCGTGGGCTGTCTCCGCACGCCGCGCCCTGGGGATTGGTCCGGTGCGCCGTCGGCAAGCAGAGCGACAAGTAGCAGCGCCCGGAGCGCCATCGAGGTGGCGTTCCTCATTGGTTCAGCCTGGATTCGGTAGGCAGGTGGCATAGCACGGCCCCCTTCCACCCCCCCTGCCCTTCGCAGCCTTCCCCGGTCCTCACTGGCTTGCCGGGGTCATGGGCCCCCCCCCTCTAGCGCCGCCGGAGGCGGCGTAGCTTCCGAGAAGCTCGGTCAGACACACGGGGGAGAGACGGACACCACATCATTACGAATGACGCAAAAATACGTCACGGAGAGCGTGTAGAATGGCTAATTTCGCCGAGAGCGCGCCGCGGGCGCACCTGGTATATGCCCGGACGGCAGGGAGACATCAATTCTTTTGAGGACCGCGCAAGACAAAGGGTGGCTAAGGGCTCTGCCCGCAAGGCGCCCGCGTCGCCGACGCGGTACCATTGACTAATCCCGGAATACACACCCACACGACCAAATAGCGAAAATCCGAATACCGTGCAAAAACCACGGAAATTGAGACAAGAACGGTGGCAAGTTTGGCTAACTCCATAACATGGGCGATCCAGCGCTTCCTTCGATTGGACGGACGAAATGATCGCGGAAAAGCGGGACCATCGCGACATCGGGGGTTCACCATATGCCGAGCATACTCGGCCTGCCATGCGCGCGCGCGGGCGCCTCGCCCGAGCGCAGCCACCTGCGGACCTGGCCAGCCTGTTCCTGGCTCGTGCCCAGCCTCTCCTTCCGCTGCCGCCGGCCTCGCAGTCCCGCCAGCCATCACGCTGCAGAGCCTGTAGACGCCACAGATGCCAATTCTGCAGCCCACAGCCCTGGCAACTGAGGGCGAGGGCCAGCAGTATACGACGACGACGACATCTCACACCCCGCGCTGGCCAGCGCCATCAGCCCCTCACGGCCCGGCCGAATTCGCCCGGCCCAACCTTCCCTTCCCCACCCTCGCCTCCAGTGCCTCCAATCAAGTCGCACCTCTCTTCTTCAGCGAATGCAGCGGCAGCACCACGCCAGAGGCCGGGCCGACTGGCGGACCTGCATGCCCAGCCATGCCCCCCACTCGAGAGATGGGCCCAGGTAGGAGGCTCCACACCACCTGACTCGCGTCGTGCCACCTGACTCTCGCCTGGAGAGGCCTCTTAGCCGAGGCACACGTGGCAATCGCCACGTGCGCCACCAGGGATTTCGGCCATTTTAGAGCCTTTTGCACAAAAATGCAGGTGGCTTCAGCCACTTGCTCCATGAGCAAAACAGTCCAAAAAGCACCTGGAGCAGATGGCTTACGCCGCCTGTGGACATGGGCAAAACAGTGCAAAAAGCACCTGGAGCAGATGGCTTACGCCGCCTGTGGACATGGGCAAAACAGTGCAAAAAGCACCTGGAGCAGATGGCTTACGCCGCCTATGGCCATGGGCAAAACAGTGCAAAAAGCACCTGGAGTAGATTCCAAACGCCGCCTGTGGCTATGTGACCGCTCGGGTGGCGCCAAGGGCTTCGGCCCCCTCCAAGCCACCTGCCCCGCCCCCCTCGCCACACGTGGAGGGCTGGAGCCCGTGCGCCACCTGGGCCTGGGCAGGTGGCTCCAGGTGGCTTCGGCCCCTCCAAGCCACCTGCCCCGCCCCCCTCGCCACACGTGGAGGGCTGGAGCACGTGCGCCACCTGGGCCTGATGGGTGGGCAGGTGGCGCCAGGTGGCTTCGGCCCCTCCAAGCCACCTGCATGCCCCCCCTCGCCACACCTGGAGGGCCGGAGCACGTGCGCCACCTGGCGCAAGTTTGAATTCGGAAACGGAAAATCCGAGCCACGGAAGGGCTGGCCTGCCAAACTCCCCGCTCTGCAAACTGGGACTGTGGGGTGTGTGAAAGAGGGCCTGCGGCGGTCATCGGCGGCTACAATCAATGTCCGGCGTCGACATAAGCCTGGGGCTTCAACCCGGCCCGCGCGGGCGTTTGGTGTGGCTGCAAACGCCGCAGGAGCCGGTGGCTGCGCTGCTCACGCGCCGTTGCTGCCGACGCTGAGCAGTCTGACTCGCCAATGAGAAGACTGCCCAATAATACGCCATCACTCGATCCCCGATAAACCAGGCCATGCAGAGCTTTGTCGGCCTCGCCGACGTCGTGTGCTGGCTGCGCGGTAGAGTTGCGAGAGTGGATTGTGGAGGCGCGGCGGGGGCGGCTCGTGGTGCCGAGGCGGTGTATAGTACATTCCTATTCAAAAGAACACGCACGATGAAATTCCCGAAGTGACGCCCAGGTGGCGCACGTGCTCCAGCCCTCCAGGTGTGGCGAGGGGGGGCTAATGCAGGTGGCTTGGAGGGGCCGAAGCCACCTGGAGCCACCTGCCCGGGCCCAGGTGGCGCACGTGCTCCAGCCCTCCAGGCAGGTGTGGCGAGGGGGGGCAGGTGGCTTGGAGGGGGGCGAAGCCACCTGGCGCCACCCGAGCGGTCACATAGCCACAGGCGGCGTTTGGAATCTACTCCAGGTGCTTTTTGCACTGTTTGCCCATGGCCACAGGCGGCGTAAGCCATCTGCTCCAGGTGCTTTTTGCACGGTTTTGTCCATGTCCACAGGCGGCGTAAGCCATCTGCTCCAGGTGCTTTTTGCACGGTTTTGTCCATGTCCACAGGCGGCGTAAGCCATCTGCTCCAGGTGCTTTTTGGACTGTTTTGCTCATGGAGCAAGTGGCTAAAGCCACCTGCATTTTGTGCAAAAAGCTGCAAAGGACTCGTGGAGGCACGTGGCGCTTTCCGCGTGTGTCTCGTGCAAAATCCGGCATTTTGTGGCTTCCAGGTGGCACGACGCGAGTCAGGTGGTGTGGAGCCTCCTACCTGGGCCCATCTATGTGCCAATCCGGAACGGGTCATCTCTCCAGGATCGGCTCGAGGATCGGCGGGATTGCAACTGTCGTCGCGTGCCGCCCGGCCGGGCCTGTCGTTCGACTCGGGCGCCTTGAGCGTCGGGGTGGCGAGCAGGGGACGCGGCCACGCGGCTCTGAGCGCCCAGCGACGCGCGCCTTCGCCACCCATTTGCTTGGTCCTGTCTACCACAGGCACACTGACAGGGGCACACTGGCAGGGGCGCTGGCGCTCGTCGTTTTCATTTTTCACTTTGCGACATCTCGCGTTCACGAGATCGGTGCTTGCCCGGTCTTTTCCTGGTGGGGGTACATCGGCTGCTACCAACGCCATAGGTTGTCCTCCAGCTTTTGCCCGCCCGCGGCGCGGCGAGCCTCTCTGCGCACCACTCCAGACACGGACTCGCCCTGCCCGCCACGCCGCTGCGTGCGCGCCACCGCCCCGATGGCCCGATCCCACACCCTCGCCGGCGGCGCGCCGTCTCTGCGCGCCGCCTCCTCCCCTCGCACCCACACTGCGCCGCCTGCGGCTTGGGCGCGTCGCTCGAGTGCCCTCACCGCCTGCCCCTCTCCGCTCGCAGGTGCGGCCACCGCCGGTCGAGCAGCGTGGCCAGCATCTCTGCGCGCCACCGCGCCCGCGCCGCGCCCTGCCGCGCCACGCCCGTGCCAGGGCTCCGAGCCTGCGCCGCCCGCTCCGCGCTGGATTTGCCCATGCGCGCTGAGCGCCGTCCGCCGGCCGCCGCCGCATCCTCGATTTCTCCCCCCGCTCACCGGACTGCCTCCGTCCGATCAGGTGCCGTGTCGCGGTGCGCCTCGCTCTTCATCTAGATGCCTCCACCCTTCCAACGTCCCCACAAAGAAACGCAAACACAGCCCACATCCCTATCACCAAGTTCCCTGTGCTGTGCGACTTCCCCTTCTACATCCTCTCCGTCATCCTCCTCTTCTTCTTCCTCTTCTTTTTCGCTCTCGACCTCCTCCTCCTCGCCGGTACGAGTCCCTCCTCCTCCTCATATAATTGCATCGGCAAGCTCCGCCTTCTCGTGTCCGCTCATCTCCGCCTTCAAGCTGTCGATGCCGGAGTCGATGCGCGACAAGTGCAAGTACTGGTTCACGTGGAACTTCGGCATGTCGGTCGCCTGGATCTGCATCCTCATCACGTGCGCTGCCGCCGCACCGCCGGCCCGACTCTGCACACACCCACACACCCACACACCCACCACCTCGCACCCCTTCCCCCCTCAACACCACTTCCCCCCGCACCGCCCTCCCCGCCAACCCCCTCGCCACACCCTTCTCCACTTCCCTCCACCCACCCGCCTCCCCACCGCAAGCCTTATTCCCCCCCCCCCTCCCCTCCCAACACCAGGTGGCCTGCGTCCAGTCCACGTGCGTCGGCTGCATCCTCAACATCCCGGGCATCGTGATGGGCACCATCGTGCTCTCCTCAAGCACCTCCGTCCCCGACTCGCTATCTCCTCCATCGTCGCCGCGCCGCCGTCTTCAACTCGATGACCATCGTCGGCCTGACTGGCATCTTTGCCGGGCATCTCGACCAGCAGAGGCTCGCCTGCAGCGTACCGTCTGCGCGTACCTGCTCGAAGGCCTACAACCGCACCGCGGCGGCTTGTCGCAGGCGACCACCGAGTGCTACACGGACATCGCGGACGAGAGTGCGGTGCGCCGCTGCGTTACCGCCCCGTGGGTGCCTCCCATTCAAGCACTTGAATGACGCACCGGCTCCCCGGCGGCACAGGCGTTCGCGCTGTCACTGTCACGTCTCGGCCCGTCCTCGACATCGACCCGACCGCCGTCATCGCCGCTCCAGTCGACCCGGCGTTCGACCCGGCCATGTGTGCGCGAGAAGCCCTACGCGGCGCTCTCGGGCTCGTCCCCGCATCGAGGACGGGCTCTCAGCTCTCATGAAGGGCGGCGGGCCGTGTCCGGAGAAGGTGCCGGCCGCGGGCCGGCTCCCTCCCTCACCCCCTCCAGCTCGTCTTCCCCCCTCCGCCCGCCCGCCTTCCCGCCTGCGGCCACCCTTCTCCTCGCCCTCGCGC